TCTATCTTACCCTGCTGTACTATTTCCACAATGTTTATGCTTGTCTCAGTGAATGGTTAATTTACTGCTTCTTCATTCATGGTCTCTCCCAACTGACCATCAGGTCCAAAAGGAAAGAGGCTGACTTGTTCTCCAGAACCTCTGTCACAGTCTTTGTTCAGTACCTACTTGCTAAATGAAGGAAGAAATAAATCAATGCCACTACCACTATCTGCAGTGCCCAGTATGTCTGCGAGCTTGCTACGATCCTCATCTCTGACAACTATTTTCCCCCAAACATGGTGCTCTGAGCAGGCCTATGTGTTGGACATGACTGTGTCCTTGGCACACTCTGTGGACCACAGGCAGATGGCATCTGGGCCAGAGAATCTCTGAAATGTTGGTACAAGTTGTCAGTTTCAAGATCTGAAAAGGACGTGAAGTAGGGTTGGTAGATCAGTCAACAAACAGAAGAATCTGTAAAGGTAAAGGAGAATGAGGCAGGAGACGGCGAGCAGGGAGCGGGGAGCGGGCTGGCTGGAGACGCAAGGTCCAGCGACAGCAGCAGCAGGATCACCGCCTGCAACTTGGCTCCTGTGGGCTCTGCAGTCAGACCAGTGCCCAGGCTCCGCCCACAGGGCACGCTGGCAGATCGGCCCAGAGGACGCAGAAGGCAGGACACGGCACACAGGGCGAATGCTGGGTAAATGCAGCCATGTCTTAGTCACAGCGCTGGCTCGGGAATCCAACAGTGCGCACAGTGCAGGCAGAGTTACAGACTGTGACCTGCCTTCTCCTCACTCACTGCAGACTCGCCTGAAGCCAACTGTGTTCCAACCAATCTGACAGCGACCTTTATTTTTCAACACTGGGATTAAACCTATGGAACACTGCGCAACACCCCATGCCTTTTTAAAAGACTGTATTCAGAGGCAGTCTTGCTATGTTGGCCTCCACCTTGTGACCTCCACCTTGTGACCCTCTTGCCTCAGTCTCCCAAGTAGACCCGGCTCCAGGGATGCACGTGACTCAGTGACCTCTTCACACCCACAAGCGGAGACACACAGGAGATGCAGACAATGCCACGAGTCACAAACAGGCGAACACTAAGAAAATTCAGACAGAACTCAGAGTCTGGGTCGTACAGTGTATCCTACAAAGATATCACCAGGGGTGGGGATTTAGCTCAGCGGCATAAGCGCCTGCCTTGCAAGCAGGCAGCCCTGAGTTCGATCCCTGGTACTGACAAAAAGGAAAAAGACAAAAAAAAAAAAAAAAAGAAATCACCAGCCTGAATTCATTTCCACTGCAAGGGACAAAAGAACCAAGGAGCTGCGTGAAGAGCAAAGCAAAAGTAACTTATAAGTGCCCTCTGGGAAAATATACCTCAAATGACACATAAAGATGAACAAAAAACCAGAAGCTGGCACAGAGACCAAAAAAAAGAAAGAAATAGGTGGCCAGAATTAAAGTACAATGGCATGAAAATTTGGAGCTTGGGTCTGCCCCAAAGACTACCAGAGAGTGGGGTGAGAAAGGTGTGATCCCAAGCTCATCCCCTGCACAGAAACCGTTAAGGTGCAATCACTGACATCACAATGCCTTCTGGCCATGCACCAAACTCCGCCCAGGGGATGTAAATCATAGTGAGTACATGCTTCCAAGCATCTGGGTTTTTCCTAAGATGGTTTGGTTCTGTTCACAGCCTTATTCCCCTGGCTCCAGGCTTACAGGGCCATTTTAAAACCTAACTGAACTAAAGAAACAAGTACAGAAGAGCTCTAGAAGGCTCTCCAGATACAGGTTCCACAGCCAGGAAACCTTAACACCCTGATTTAACGTGTGACGATTCTACCACCGCAGTGTGACCTCGTCAGAGACGCGGCGTGTACAGACATGCTCACTGCTTTCCGTGTCCCCCTAGGCCAACTCAGTTGTTCCCTTTTCTGTTGTTCATGGTTGATGACAGGAGGACTGCCCATGCCAGGTCACAGAGCCAAACCATCAGGTCAGCATCTATTGCTGCCACCTTTTTCCATGGCCAGGTGGTAAGTGAGGTCAAATCTTAACCACCAAGTGGATCACGAAAAATCCCCCATTGTCTTGCTGGGTGTGGGTGTGGTAACACCCACCTATCATCCCAGCGCTTGGGAGGCTGAGGCAGGAGAAGTATTGCAAGTTTAGGGCTAACCTAGACTACAGAGCTAGACCCTATTTCCAAAAAACCACAACCACAAGCTCCTTAGGATGCTTTGAACTTACTTCCCTAAAGTACTTGTCTCAATGAACCTGGTATTCAAGAATCCATCACTGTACCAGGCACTGTGTAATTTTTTTATTTTCCTACATATAATTTTTAATTTTTAAAAATGCTATTAATTTTGGGCCAGGTATGGTGGCCCACACCTGAAATCCCAGCTACTCAGGAGGCTGAGGCACCAGAATCAAAACTTTAAGACTAGCATGAGTAACTGAGCAACTTAGTGAGACCCTGTCTCAAAAAAATTACAGAGAGCTGAGGATGTAGGTGAGCACCCGAGTTCAATCAATCCCCAATATGGCAAGAAGATAAAAATGTAATAAAAATACTACAATTTTTAAAAAGTAATCACTCACTGTTAGAATTTTTTAACTTTATCATCACTTTAAACAAAAAGTCTTCATGCAACTGTGTAACTTTGGCTTTCTGTCTGCTTGCTTAATTGAGACAGGGTCTTTCTTTGTGGCCCAGGCTGGCCTCAAACTCCTGAGTTCAAGTAATCTTCCTGCCTCAGCCTCCTGGGCAGAGGGACTACAGCTGTGCACCATCACGTCCAGCTCAGCTATACATATCTAGATACGTATCTCTACTTTCTTTTCTTGCACTACTGAGGGTGGAACCCAGAGCCTTGCACATGTTGGGCTGGGGTGAGTGCTCTACTTCTCAGCTACATACCAGTTCTGTTATTTTTTAAATGAAGTATAAAAAAGTCTATGATGGGGGCTGGGGATTTAGCTCAGCAGCATAAGCACCTGCCTTGCAAGCAGGCGGTCATGAGTTTGATCCCCAGTACCAGGGGGGGAAAAAGTCTATGATGAATGTAATCATTATGAACTTCAAGCATATACTGACAAAAATAAAAACTTTTTAAATTTAAAAATACGAAGCTTAGTGTGGTAGCATGTGCCTATAATCACAGCACTCTGGCAGGCTGAACCAGGAAGATCTCAAGTTTGAACCTAGTCCATGCAACTTAGCAACTTAGTGATACCTTGTCTCAAAAGATTTTTTAAGAACATGGAGGATGCATTTCGGTGTGAAGCCCCATGTTCACTTACCACTACTGAGGGAAATAAACGGTCTCGGTTACAAAATAGCTCTATATTCTTTACAGTTAGCAAAAATTTTAAAAACAGTATTTTTCAGATGTTATATATGCCAACATAATAACGTGCATAATAAAAAGAGTAACAACCATCATTATTTTAACAGTAAACAAAAGGATTTAAGAGTGGTCAACGTGCCAGGTGTGGTGGTACATGCCTGTAATCCCAGCACTTGGGAAGCTGAGGCAGGAGAACTGCCTCGAGTTCAAGGCTAGCTTGAATTACATAGTAGGATCTGTGTCCAAAAAAAAAAAAGTGGTTGGCAAAAACAGGAGCGACGCAGGCACAAGGTGATGCCTGGGATGCCCTCTGCGGTGCATCTGGAACCCCAGCTGCGCTTCAGTAAGCCGCATCACCGATGGTGCGGCTGCACAGCGCAGCGCCAGCGCTGAGAGCAGCAAAGGAAGCTGCCTCTCACGTCACAGTGCGGCAGCAGGTACGGGGTGGACAAGAAGCAGAGCCAGGCCAAGGTCTGTCAAGCAGCAGCGTGTTTACCTCAGCACAGGCAGAAGGTGGGCAGAGAAATATGTAGCTACTTGCTTGTATTTTGAGAATGAAATAAAAAACTGTAATATTTTAAGCTGAGGCAGACATACAGGAAGGACAACAGAAGGCAAACTTGTTTGAGTATATTTTGTTTTTCAGAATTGACTTGAAGAATCAAACTCAGTATTTTACATAATTATAAATAAAACATAAAAGGAGTAAGTTTCTAAAATTTAAGTGTAAAATGAAACCAATAGGCTGAGCTGAAGTCAGAGAGTGTATGACCACACCGGGCCCATTACAGAGGAGCAAGCGGAAGGCACCGCAGCGTCTCACCGCACATCTCGGAAGGAAAAACCCAACGGGAGGCCAGACAGGCTGGGGCACACCTGTAACCCAGCACTTCGGAGGCTGGGCAGGAGGACCACTGTGAGCTCAAGGCCAGCTGGACTGCACAGCCAGCCGCTATCTCGAGAAAACCAAAATAACTCTTCAAACTTAAAAAATAACTTAAAAGCTTCCAGGGCTGAGAGGTGCAGGTCAGCGGCAGAGCACCTGGTTGGTGTGCATGTCACACCGGGTTCCCTCCCAGGCCGAAAAAGCCAAATAGAAATAAACAAAGCTTCCATTCCTGGGCATCACTGCTATTTCCCCTCTCTCAACTAGAAAGAGGCTGCAGACGGGCAGGTGACACGGAGGGGTCCGGCAGGACCTGGGTCATTTTCATCAAGGACACCCTCCTATCCACACAGGTGTCAGGGGCAGTATCAGTCCACCGAAACTCCCAAAGCTGTCCACCTGCACCACCAAATGAAAGCAAACAGGCCATGTTTCTCTTTGACCCTTTCATCGCAGTGAGGCCATGAGTCTTTGTGAAGACCCAGCGAGTGCTGGGAAATGCCCAGAGGAGTGGGTCTTTGCGGTTTCCTGGGGTTTGGCCAGTGGCTCAAACCAAAAAGAGCCACATGGAGCTGCTGGCTCGCCTGGTCAGCGCTGGATGCCACCCCTGCCCGAAAACACAGAGCCGCTCTGTCCCTGGCCGCCCGCCCCTGTGGCAGCACGATCCGCACTAGGAGGGGCGGCAGCGCCTTCAGAGCCAGGTCCAGACCTGAGGCCTCGCAGCCATCAAAGGCCACACCTCACGCACGCACAGCTCCTCCGGAACTCACCTCGAATTCTTCCCAGAAGCCTTGCTTGACCTTATCCGTGGTCTCGGCCAGTTTGCTCAACTCTCGAACCCGGCTTTCAATCTCGGCCGCGTTGATACGGGTGGTGTTGAGGGGCTGCCCAGGAGCAGCAGGTGGTGGGAAGGAAGAAAATGCTTTTCAGAGCGGTGTCAGCAGAGGGAAGAAAGACTGTTATGTCTGTGTCCACAGAGGCAAGGCAGGGAGCGCAGAGGACACAGGGGCGCACAGTGGAGCCTCACACGCAGGGGCAGCTGCACTTTCTTCTGGGTTCTGTCGGGAAACACTATGGAGCTTTCTTCACACTTCCCTCGCTATATAATTCACCTACTTTTCCTTCCAAAAAGACACAGCATGATTCCGAAATGAAACTGCAGCTGGCAAAAGGGCGCACCCTGAAGAAGCTCTACGATGAGTAAATGTGAACAACTAAAGGTAACGACCCAAAGGTGGACCCATCGGGAAAATTCTCTTTTAAATTCTCTGTAAGGAGAGCCAGGAGCCAGTGCTGTACACCCGAGAGGCTGAAGCTAGCGGACTGCAAGTTCCAGGCCAGCAGGACTGTAGAGTGAGAACTTGTCTCAAAAACAGCAACAAAAAACCAATTCTGTAAGCAGGCGGGGGAGCACTTCAGTGGGACATCACATGTTTAACATGCATGAGGCCTTCGGTTTGATTCCCAGCACCAACAAAAAAGTACAAAAAACGAACTCTTCAAGGACTTTTACAGATACACAGGGACCTGATACAACATCTGGAACCTGTTTCTAGATATCACAGGAGGAATGCCAGGTGTGATGGCACGTGCCTGAAATCCCAGCACTCAAGAGGCTGAGACAGGAGGACTGCTGTGAGTTCAAGGCCAGCCTGGGGTACACAGTGAATTCAAAGCCAGCGTAAGTACACAGCAAGACCCTGTCTCAAAAAAAAAAAGAACAAGAAAAACTTAGTTGTTTTTTTTTTTTTGGTACCGGGGATCAAACTCACTACTTTGCACTTGCCAGGCAGGTATTTACGCTGCTGAGATAAATCTCCAGCCCGGCACTTTAAACATTCTGAGGGGCTCTTAGTTTTCCAACAGGCTCACCTGCTTCAGTTGGAGCACTGTGCCCAATGTCTCTACCATGGGATTCTTCTTGTAATGCTCCACCAGATCTGTCAAGGAATCAAACCGTTCTCCTCCACCAACATCATACTTCAGTTCCTTCCAAGATAAAAAGACGATGGTTATTACAGTTACCTTAATCACTGGTTTCCATGGCCACCGCCACGTTATTCACAGTATCCAGTGTACAGAAACAACCTGTGTCCCTGTACAGAGGAAAAATGAACGTGGGGAGGGGCAGTCTGTACATAACAGAAGGAAACACGGTACTATCACAACAAAATACTAGTTTTAAAAAAAAAGGAAGGGAAATGCTATCATTTGCAACCTGTGAGCCTAAAGGATAAGCCAGCCACAGCAAGACAAATATTACATGATTTTACTTTTATATGAAATCTGGAAAGGAAAAAAAAAATCAAACAATACAGAGCATAATGGCAGTTCTCAGGGACTTGGCAGCAGGAAAAGGGGAGACATGTCCAAAGGTACACACTCTCAGCATGCCGAACGAGTTCCTGAGACCTCAGGGACAGGGTGACGGCTACCCTAGTAACAACGCCTCACGCAGGAAACTCGCTAACGGAGTAACCTCAGTGTTTCCACTTCAGGAAAAAAAAGGCAACTACCCATGGCTACACTAATTAGCCTAGATGGAAAAAAAACCTAAAACAACTTTTTCCATTTGAAACTCTAAAAGACTGACTCTTCCCTAAAATAGATCAAATAGTTGCAGTAGTACATGGGGGAGGAAGTGAAGGACAGAGACTCAAAGCAAAACAAAAAGGGGGTATCGGGGTGTAGAGCTTGTGCTCAGAAAGCACAAGGCCCCGTGTTCAACCCCAGCACCAAAAAAGGGGACTAAAATAAAATGAAATGGCACAGCATTTGCACATAACCTACAGTAGCCTTCTGTGTGCTTTAAGTCATGTCTCTGTGACATAGTAGGTACCTCATGTATGGAGGCTGGCACAATACAATCTAAATGTTACAGAAGGAGTTGTCATCCTGCATTGTGCAGGGGACGATGGCCAAAACAACTGTCCGTAAATGTTCGGTACAGAAACAACTGCTTTTCCCAAATGCTCTTTATTCACAGCAGGCGAATGCCCAGGTGTGGCACCCAGACACAAAAGGCCAGGTGTACAGTGCCGGGCTAGGCTGTGACAATCCTAAGGACAAGCTGAGGCTGCTTTGCAGACATGGAGACCTGGAGGTAACGCTAGCAGCTGTCCCAAGAAACAGAATAAACACTGCAGGGCAGAGGTGACACGTTGAAGCACAAATTAATCTGCCAGCAGAGACTGGACATCAAACAGGAGTCTGGAAATAACAAAACAATCGCAATAAACAACATAGTAACAGGGTAAAAGATCTTCGCTAAATGAACAAAGAACATCAGATTTTGGGTATAACGGCATCTGTCTTTCTCTTGCAGAAAACATCTGGAAGCATTGCCTGGAACGCAGGGCTTTACCTGGCAGCGGATCATGACGTGTGTCACCTTCGATTTGCCGTCATTGCTCTCCCCTTTGTCATCACCAGTGCGGACAGAGAGAACAAAATCTCCAGGGTGGCTCTGGCTCTCTCGGACAAGAAAGCTACCATGTTTTCCCTTCTCAGTTAGTAATTTCTCTGCTTCTTTCCCAGAAAGATGACCATGAAACCACCTAAAACATTTAAAAATGGAAATGAATTGAGTTCAGCCATGGATTCAAAACATCCTTTCACTAAACTATCATGTACAGTCAGCTCTCTAGAACACAATGTCGAAACAGACACATTCCTCCCAGGGACAGACTGATGAGCCTGCGACGAAACCAGCATCTCACACAAGCAGAAAACATGACAAGAAGGCTAAGAATGACCATGATTTTTTTTTATTTTTTTTGGAGTACTGCAGATTGAATTAGATTTTAAAAAATTAAAAATATCAGAGATAATCAGAATTGAACCAATTGTCAAACAAATGGACTTAATAAATATGTGCAGTGTTCCACGCAACAACAGAATATACATTCTTCTCAGGACACATGGAGCTTCCTCCAGAAGACCACATGCTATCTCATAAAGGATGCTTATGTATATGCAAAAGAATCAAAATTATCCCATGCATGTATTCAGATCACAGGGGAAAAGAAATCACAGAAATTATACAAATCCATGGAAACTAAACAATACCCTCTTGAATAATCACTAGGTCACACAAAAAAAATCAATGAAGAAATTAGTTCCTAGAATCCAACGATAACACTAGCACGACACACTAGAACCTATAGGACACAGAAAGCAGTCCTCTGAGGAAAGTTTCTAGTTCAGAAATATACAGCAAGCCCAAGTAAATAACCCAGTGAAGCAGCACCTCAAGGTCCTAGAAAAACAGGACCAATCCAAATCCAAAGCTACTACAAGGAAGGAAATTATAAAGGTAAGAGCAAATATTAATGAAATTGAGACTTTAAAAAGTATAAAGAATCAGTGAATCAAAGAGCTAGCTCTCTGAAAGAATAAATGAAACAGACTTAGCCAATCTTAACAAAATAAGGAAAGACTCAAATCAACACGATTAGAAATGAAAAAGTCAAAAAACTTTACAACAGGCTCTGCCGAGATCCAGATTATTAGTAACTACAATGAGAACCTGTTCTCTTAATAAAATGGAGAATTCAGAAGAAATGGGTTGATTCCTAGGTATATACAAACTACAAAGCTGACATTAGAAGACCCAAACCCCTGAATAATCCAACATCAGGCAATTACTGAGTAAGTAGTAATAATAATTTAGAAAAAAAAATGGCAACCAAGACAAGTCCAAGTCCCAGTGGATTCAATCCCAACTTGTTCCAGAACTTCAGGGAAGACACATTGCTACTCTCCAACTCTTAATGAAACTGAAAGAGGAGTAATTATTCCTGAAGTCACTCCTGGAAGGTATCCTAATTCTAAAACCAGAAAAGGACCCAACCTAAAAAGAGAACTAAAAGTCAACCTCTTTAGTGTGTTCACAGCGGGCCGTAATTGTGTCTTGCTGCTAAGGCAGCTGGATTTTAACTTCACCATCTGATGTTTTGTTTTGCTTTGCTTTGCCTTTTACAGACAGGGTCTCGTTACACAGTTCAGGCTGGTCTTGAACTATCTAGGTAGCCCAGGCTGGCCTCGACCTCACAATGATCCTCCCGCTCCAGCTTCCCCAGTGCTGGGATTTCAGGCATGTTACCTTGCCTAGCTTTCATCAGCTGCTGTTAAACTGCTAACCGCCAGTCGGTCGAGCCACCTGATGAGACAGTCATACATGTACTATGGGTGGTTTAAGCTGGCAGCAACATGTTAATGATTGTCAATGCAAAAGTCCTCAACAAAAGGGCTGGGGATATAGCTCAGCAGCACAAGCGCCTGCCTGGCAAGTACAAGGTCATGAGTTCGACCCCCAGTACCCAAAAAAAACTCAACAAGGTATCTGAAAACAGTATGCCTCTTCAAAAAGATCATACATCATGACCAAGCCTCATTCATCAAGGATGGTTCAACACACACACACATCAATATATGTAACAGACCACATAAACAGAAGCAAAGACAATAATCACATGATCATCTCAACTCATGGAAGCCTTTGACAGAATCCATGATTTCATCACAGCCATGTACACCTGGATTCCCAGCACTCAAGAAACTGAAACAGGAGGATTCAAGGCTGGCCTAGGCTGCATAATGAGCTCAAAGCCAGCCTGAACTGTGTAACAAGACCCTGTCTCAAGGAAGGAAGGAAGAAAGGAAGGAAGACAGGCAAGTCAGCCATTCGTGACAAACCAATGTCCCTAACATCATATTAAATGGGGAGAAGCTAAAAAGGTTTTCTTTAAAATCAGGAACAAGACAAAGATGTCCACTATTCACCAGTACTGTTTGCTTTTCTGCAGGGGGTGGGGGTGGGGGTGGGCAGTATGTCTGAGACAAGTTCTCAGTTTGAAGGTCAGGCTGGCCTTGAGCTCACTGTGTAGCCTCGTCTGGCCTCTCAACTTTCCAAGCTCCTCCTGCCTTACTTGTCAGTGCTGGGATTACAGGCTGCGCTACCAAAACTGGCACCAGTACTGCTCAATATGGTTCTCAAAACATGAGCTAGGGTAATCAGGCAAAAGGAAAAAATAATAAAAGGGATACGGTGTAGAAAAGGAAGAAGTAGAATTCTCATTATTTGCAGATGACATGACCCTCCACATTGAAGACCCGAAAAAGACTCTAGAGTCAATAACCAAATTCAGTAGCACAGCAGGATACAGAGTCAACACTCAAAAATCAGTAGTGTTCCTGTGTGCCAATCAGCTCACAAATTGGACAACAGCTTCAAGAAAAATTAAATACCTAGGAATTAACCTAAGCAAGGAAGTAGAAGACCTCTACAGTGAAAGCTGCAGTACTCTGAAAAAGGAGACTGGAAGAGGACGTGGAAAACAGAAAGCTAACCCCTGATCCTGGAGATGCAGAAGCAACAGTCAAAATGGCTCTTTCTTCAAAACTAATACACAGACTGAATGCAATCTCGATGCAAATGCCAACAGCCTTCCTCAAGAAACTGAACTAAAGAAACAGAACTAAAGAAAACAACCCTAAAATTCAGATAGAACCAGAAGAGGCCTAGAATAGTAAAAGCAGTCTGGGGAAACAAAAGCAAGGTAGGAAGAATCACAATTTCAGACTTCAAATTACACTACAGAGCTACGGTGACGAAAACACTGGCTGCATGGTGTAGTACATATGCCTGTAATCCCAGCACTCGGGAGGCTGAGGCAGGAGGACCACCTGTTTGAGGCCAGATCCCATCTCAAATAAATAAGTAAATAACACAAAACCAGCATGGTGTGGGAAAAAACAAAAACAAAACAAAACACCTTTATTAATGGAACAGAACAGAGAATACAGGAACAATTCAAAGCATATCGAGCTACCTGATCTTTCATAAAGGGACCAATGGGGATTTAGCTCAGTGGCTCAAGCACTTGCCTGGTAAGCACAAGGTTGTGAGTTCTATCCCCAGTACCAAAAAATAAAAAACAAAACACTGTGATAAAGGGGCCAAAAACTTTCGCTGGAGGAAAGACAGCCTCTTTGACAAATGGTGCTAGAAAAGCTAGCTATCCACATGCCAAAAATTCAATCCAGACCTATATATTTCACCAGGTACTAAAATAAAATAAAAATGGATCAAAAATGACATGTTAAAATAGAAATACTGAATGCATACGCCAGAAAATAACTAAGCAAAACTCTTAAAGGCATAGACACAGGCAAGGACTTTCTGAACAGAACCCCAACTGGAAGAGATAACCCTAAAAATCAACAAATGGGGTCATTTCAAATTCAAAGCCTCAAAATGGCTGCACCACAAAGACATACACTTAAGTAAGATTAACTGGACACTCGTGTAAACACTGCACTGCCCGAGACACGGCAGCGTAGATGAGGACCAAAATGGACAAAACACATTGTGAAACAGAAAGAAAACCTTCAAAGGGGAAGGGGAAAGAGACGAAGAGAAAAGAAAAATAACGATGAGAAAAGAAGGACAAACGGAAACAACGCTCTTGTAAGTAAGGGTGAAGGGGGTGACGGGATGATGGGAAGGAGAAAACAGAAGAATCGAGCTTTGTCATGAGCAGGTCCAAGTTCTCTGTGATGAATGTGATCATCATGTATCCCTAAAATGTACCAATAAGCTTAATTTAAAAAGCTTTGCACAGCAAAGGAAACAACCAACAGAGTGAAGAGACAACTACAAAGTGGGGTTGTATTGTTTTTTTGTCCCAGTGATTGAACTCACGACCCCACGCTTACAAGGCACATGCTTGTGCCACTGAACTAAATCCCCAGCCCTAAAAACATCATTATAAATTAATTCGAGCACGTCCAATTAACTTAAGTATTTCCAATCTGTACGTCAAAGGCCTCCAAATGTGCTACTGATGTCTTCAGACAGTATATTGGGCTAGCACCTCAAAGTGTAATGCACATAAGACTTGGAAGGGCCAAGGCTTGGATGGGCTAAAAATCCCTACACCCTATAACGAGAGATAAAAGATAGCAACACACGTAAGTCTCAACGGAAGCCAGGAGGCTTTCCAAGGTCATTCAAGGACAGATTTTTTTGGAGGCAGAGCCAATCCAGGCAGGCCTTGAACTCACTGTGTAGTACGGGCTGGCCTTCAACTCGAACTCGGTGGTGATCCTCCTGCCCCAGCCCCCAAGAGCTGGGATTACAGGCATAAGGATAGATTTTTAAATAGCACTGCTGTAAATTATCATGGAAAACAACTTGACATGGTCACATGAATGCCTGACTTTCTCCCTCCTCAAGCTGGTTACAAGGAAGCACAAGCTACCATAACAGGTCACACCAACAGCTCACCCCTAAAGGAACAGGCCAACTTAGTTTTCATCCACATATAACAGAAGAGTGAAATGTAGAAATAAACCTGAGTTTGCCCATAGTCCTTTGCTTGGATCCAGAGTGGTAGCTGAAGAAATATTAGGAGCACATAACAGCAATAACATAAAGTTGGAATAACCTGAAGATACTAAGCTAATTAAGAGACAGGATTGGGCCAGAAATACAGGTCTGCGGCACAGCATCTGCCTGGCAAGCAAAAACATTTCCAGAAGAGACATAAGATTTGTACTGAGTCAGAAAAAGAGGCTGAGAATTAGAAAACCAACACAATCGATACAAATAAACCAAGCCCCAGCCGTCACCAGCTTAGCTCCAGCACTCAGGAAAAGACCTTAACAAGAATACAACTGCCTGTAAGCAGGGCAAGCTCTCAAGCTTGTGAATACAAGGAAGCCGGGCCTCTGAGTTCTCCGCTCTTCCATTTCTGGGTTTAAACTGACATCTGTTGGTGGTTCTGCTACATAACGGGTTGGGAGCCACCACAGAGAATTGCTGGTGTTTGGGTTTATTATTTTTATTTTGTTTCATTGCCTTCAGTTTTGGTTTTTGCTTTTTCGACACAGGAATTCACTGTGTAGTCCATGCTGGTATTCAACTCACAATTCCTGCCTCAGTCTCCCAAGGGTGGGATGACACAGTCAGATACTACCATGCCCAGCGAGCTTCTTCAGCATCACCATAAGATCTGCATTCTTCTAATAATTCCCAAAGATTATCTGCTGAAATTCAATAAATCTTAAAATTACTGTATATACTGGGTATGCACAGGAACAGTGTGTGACCCTGCAGAATGAGTGTAAGTAACAATGCTGTAAGAAAAGGGTGGAAAAATGTTACTCCTATTCTTCTTTTTTCTTTTTGTAAACAAGGTCTTGCTATGTAATTCGGACTGGCCTTGAACTCACTGTGTAGCCCAGGCTGGCCCTGATCTTGTAGCAATCTCCTGCCTCCGCCCCGAGTGCTGGGATCACAGGCAGCTGTCACCACGCCCAGTTAACATACTTTAATTAAAGGTGACAGTCTTTGGAGCATTGTAGACCCCATGGTCCATCCCCAACATATTCATATGACACACAGGGCCTGACAGAGCTGCAAACTCTGTGTTGACTAAGATGCCACTGACCTTTCAGAGGTAGGATCTGCACAGTTCAGTGGATATTTGAGCTCGATAACGTCTCCATTCTTCTCTTTCAGCTGCCCATGATGTTCCATGTAATACTGGACCAGCTCAGCCAAAGTGGCAAACTTCTCTCCTCCATACAGGTCATAGTAGTCACCTGTGTTCTGAATCTTGATGTGGGTGACAGCTCCATTTCTCCTAAAATAGTCCATGCAACGAGGGAGGAAAAAAACAGAGCCACAGAATAAAACACTAGTAAAAATAGGTCTCATGTTCAGTATCAAATTTTACCTAGAAGTCAAAACCTGAGGTACAAATTTCCCCTCCTCTATACCAAATACAATGAGGGTGAAAACCTATGGTCAACCACCTCAACCGGAGGTGTCATCAGTCTCTGCACTCCACACACCTGCTATTTTGAAGGGCTGGCTATTTAACTGTATATGCTAAGTGACAACACCTGTTATCATTAAGTAAAATACATACCTTCTAATCCAGCAAATCTACTCCTAAGTATTTTGCTCAAAAGGAAGGAAATGGAAGATACCAAAAGACTTGCACAAAAGTACTCATTGCAGACCTTATAATAGAAAAAACTTGAAAATTCAAGTATCAAAAATGCATAAACAGGGGCTGGGATTTAGCTCAGCAGCATCAGCACCTGCCTTGCAAGCAGGCGGTCATGAGTTCGATCCCTGATACCGATAAAAATGAAAAAGACAAAAAAAAAAAAAATGCATAAACAACTAGTGACATGCTGATACAATAGATATCACAAAGCAAAGCAAAAAACAGAAACGAAAGACAGCAACCCCTCCTGCCTCTCAGCAGCTGTAGCTCTCACCACTGATAGATATTTCCTACTTAAAAAAAAAAAAAAGGGAGAGAGAGAGAAAAAAAAGAAAGCAAGAGAGACAGAGGCAGGGACAGAGGAAGGAAGGAAGGCAGGCAGGCAGCAGACATTACACTGGTACACTGGGCTGGGGTGGAGCCCAGTGGTGGAGTTTGCCTGGCATGAATGACACCTGGGTTCCACCTGTAACGGGGAGGGGAATGACACGAAGGAATATACCCTGTGTGGCTTCATTTATATGAAACTGTACAAGTAAAACTAGTCTACAGGGACAAAAAATGAAACTGGTAGTTGCCTCTTGGAAGGAAAACTGGAAAGGGCACAAAGCAGCTTTTTAGAATAATGGGAATGTCTCTGACTGGGCATAAACATGTTTATCAAAACTCAGTAAAGGGAGTCGGGCATGGTGGCTCATGCCTGTAATCCCAGCATTTGGGAGGCTGAGGCAGGAGGATCGATGTGAGTTCAAGATCAGCCTGGGCTACAAAGTGAGCTCAAGGCCAGCCTGAACTGCACAGAGACCCTGTCTCAAAAAGAAAAAAGGAAAAAAAAAAAAAAACCCTCAATAAAGATATTGCATATATCTTTAAAACTCACTGTAGGACTGGTGGCACAGTATGGCTTGGATTTAATCCTAAGCACGACATGCATACACATGCGTGCATGCACAAGATAGTAAAGGGAAAACCTACTTTAAAGACACATATTACTGACAGACTTCCCAACTGAGACAATTAATGTGTCAGCCCCTGATTATATGGAATTACATAAATATATCTCAAGCATACCAATATCTACCTTTGTGGAAACCAGGGGCCTGGTAGCCCCTAAAAAGGTAACCATGGCAACCACTGACATTCCCATGTTCCTTCTTTTTTCTAAGTGGTGGTGGTGGCACAGCTGCTGCTCCAAACTGAACGCAGGGCTCTGCACATGCTCGGCAAGTCCTCCACCACTGAGCCACACTGCACTGCCAGTCCTGGTCCCCAGCCCCCTGCTACACTACATTTTTTTCCTTTTAGTGCTAGAGACTGAGCCTCGTGTTCTACCACCAAGCTATCTCCTCAAGTCCCTTATTTATTTTTAGTCTGTCTCTATAACATTACTAATGAACGCTCTAGAAAATATGTTGCTACCACAGAGAAAGGAAAATGGGAACTAAGAACAAACAAAATCATCCCAAAATATTACTAAAATCTAATTCTAATTTTTCGTGACAATTTTTCCAGTGGGTTTAAAAAAAACCCACTTGAAGTCTCATGCGCCCCCAACTACATACCACATTATTTTAACACCTGCACTTCTTATTTTTAGCATTTACTTAATAGCTTATCACAAATATAGGTATTTCAAGTATGGATTAGATCAATATATAGCAACACAGGTGGCTATCAAAAACACGACACTGCACAAATAAAGGCATAATGCAGAACTAGATGACATATATACCATACCTGACAATCTAGGACTATGAGAGTATTACTCATGGGACATTTGAACACACCGTGTATATGTGCATTTATGTGTGTGTGTGTGTGTGTGTGTGTGTGTGTCACTGGGGACTGAACTCAGGGCCCTTGCTGAGCGCTTCATCCCCAGTCCTCCTTGTTTATTTGATTTTGATTTGTGCACGCATATGTGTGTTACTGGGGAATAAACTCAGGGCGACGCACTCAACTACATCCCTACTCCTTTTCTTATTTTTCATTTTAAGGAAGGACCTCGCTAAGTCACTCAGTTGCCCCGGCTGGGCTCTAATTTAAAATACCGCTGCTTCTGCCTTTCGGAGTATTAGGATTACAGCTATACACTGCCACACCTGGCCCATTTTTGTTTTTAATAAACTAAGGAGATATACACCAAATTCATGATAGTAACTACCTGTAAGGAAAACAGGAGACCAGAATCAATGAGCAATAGCTAAAAGGAAATCTCAAAAGCCGAGTGTGGTGATGCACACCTGTAATCCCAGCACTCAGGAGGCTGCAGCAGGAGGATTGTTCTGAGTTCAAAACCAGCTTGGGAGGCCAGGGATTTAACTCAGTGGCATAAACACCTGCCTGGCCAGTATGCGATCCTGAGTTCGATCCCAAGAACCCCCCCCCCCAAAAAAAGACAAGCCTGGGTTACAAAGTGAGCTCAAGGCCAGCCTGAACTACATAGTGAGACCCTGTCTCAAGAAATACAGGGGGCTGGAGATTTAGTTCAGCGGCATAAGCGCCTGCCTTGCAAGCAGGCAGTCGTGAGTTCAATCCCCAGTACCGATAAAAAGGAAAAAGACAAAAAAAAAAAAAATACAGGCAGGCAGACAGACAGAAATTTTACTTTATTCTGAAGGAAAAAAATGACTAGCAATAAATATAAGTGATTCTAACATAACGTTCTGCATCTGCCTATATTTTTCTCTCAAAGTTAAAAAAGGTGAGGATTCTCTCCTAGGCCAATTGAACACCAACATAATCATTAATTTTGCAGCACAGCAGAGTTTACATCATCTGCACAGAGAAAGAACAACATGTACACTACTTACACATACACAAGTGTATACTCAAGCATATATAGCATATATATGAGTGCCTGTAGAGTATCAGGCTCAGCATCCTTTATCTAAAAACCCCAAAAGCCATAGCTTTCTGAGCATCAACATGTCACAAAGAGAAAACCACACCTGATTTTACACAAAACTGACACCCGACAGGTCAGTCAAACCACAGGTGCATTAAAAATACTGTACAGGTAGGGCGTGTTGGTACACACCTATAATCCTAGCACTGGGAAGCCTGAGGCAGGAGGATCACTGTAAATTCAAGAGCAGTCTGGGCTACAAAGTGAGCCCAAGGTCAGTCTGAAGTGAGTAGTGAGACCCTGTCTCAAAGACCCAAAAAAACCCCAAACTATATGAGACTACCTCCAGGGTATCTGCATATGATGGCTACACAACATAAATGAACTTCATGTTTAGATTTGGGTCCCATCTCTAAGATCTCTCATTATGTATATGCAAATAGTCCAAAACTCATCTGTACTCTGAAACGCCTCTGGTCCCAAGTATTTCAAATAAAGACTACTTTACTTGTGTTCCGTATACATAAAGAAACATAAAGTCTGAAGCAGATGTGCTAGAGTCATAGCTCAGTGGTAGAACACATGTCCAGCATGCAAGAGGCCCTGAGTTTGATCCCCTGCACTAAGGGGAAAAAAAACACCTTAGAGGCAATGTTAGAGTGGTTAAAAGCACTGGTTCTGGGGCCGGGAGTTGTAGCTCTGCGGTAGAGCACCTGCCTAGCATGTGTGGGATCCCAGGTTTGCTCTCCAATACCATCAAAAACAACAATCAAACCAAAGCACTGCTTCTAAGACAGCTGACGGAAGAGATGTATAAATGGTCTTAAACTGAAAGGTGCTTTAGCTTCAATCATAAAACTAAAATTCATTTGAGACACCATTCTCATCCAAGGGGCTAAAATGAACAGCTTGAGCGCTCAATGGGCTGTGAAAAACCAGGCAGCTCTACGCACTGTGGGCAGAACCACAGCGCACCAGCCCTGTGAGGGGAACTCGGACACCCACACTGTCTAACACCTGCTGCCTGCCGCGCCCTCAGCCCCAAGGGTCCACCGTGACAAGCACAGAATAATATACGTGAATCACTCATATTCATTATGTGTATTCACTGAGGCATTATATATTTCAAAATATTGGAGAAAACTACACTGCTATCTGTAAGAGAGAATACAAAGAAACTGTGCAAGAGCCACAGGGTAGAACGCTATGTAAAGCTGATTAAAAAGATGAAGAAGTTTATAAAAAAATTCCCGAAAGTGAAAAAGAGAAACCAGAAGGAAATACATTTAACATTCTACTTCAAATACAAAAATAAAAGGAAAATAAACAATACATGTACCCCACTGATATGCATGATTTTTATGTTTTAATGTATCACATAACATAAAAAATAAATTTAAATAAGGTCATGCTCAGAGGGAGAAAAAAGAAAATAATAAGAAAAATATATATTTGCACCAGGTGTGTGGCACACACTTGTAATCTCAGCACTTGGGAGGCTGTGGTAGCAGGATTGCTGCGAGTTCAAGGCCAGCCTGGGCTACACAGTAAGTCACTGTCTAAAAACAAAAAGAAAGAAAGAGAGAGAGAAAAAAAAAAGAAAAACACAAAAGATAAATCAAAATTAGTAGAAATTAATCTCCACAGGAATGGAGACACTGTGCAAGGCATAGTTGTGAGAATGAGATTCCTGGGCCAGACATTTAGCTCAGTGGCACGAGCACCTGCCTGGCAAGCAACAAGGTCATGAGTTCAATTCCTGGTACCAAAAACAGAATGAGATTTCTCAGAATATGCCTTCTTATACAGTTTCGAAGTTTGATTCTTTTTTGTCTTTCTTTCTTTTTGTTGAGACAAGAGTCTCATGTAGTTCAGACTGGCCTTGAACTCTCGCTGATTTTCCTGTCTCACTGTTCTAAGAGCTCAGATTACAGAGATGTCCCACCACTCCCATGAATTTTGAATCCTACACGTTTCACAGGCTCAATAAATACAAATTAAATCAATAAAGACAAAACAACAATATAAATGGAAAGAAATGAACTTGTGTAACTTTACACCTATCCAGAAAATTGAATTCTAGTAAAATTCTGAAGGCAGTACAAACACTATGTCCATATTCTAGGAACAAGAGGACTCCAAAGAAATCTAGAACTTTATTTAGTAGGTTTATAATTAGAAAAGATAATAGTATAGTAATTTTAAAACTTTAATTTTAGGGTTGGGCAAATGAGGTCACACATTATGCTGTTGAAAACAGCAGCTCTCCTGCAGGACACAGGAAGTACAAACCCGTACTGCAGAAGAAGAGGAAGTTGGGCTGAAGGAGAACTATCTATCAGTAAGCACACTTGGTTTTAAACACATAAATATTTATTTCCAGCTCTGTCCACTCCTGGTAGGAGCCTAGAAGCAAAGACGTCCAGGAGCATAAACACACCCTGCACCTAGACCCTGGCTCCTGAATTCCATCTCCCACTAGAGTGGAAGAGTTGAGGCCCTGAGAGAAATGGGGGATTCCCAGTCTGGAAAAGGAAAATTTCAAGAGTCATCTGAAATGTCTCAGTCAGACCACAAGGAACTGTTCAAAGACTACTGGAGAACTGTCAACAAGATAACTCACCACACTCACCAAATCTGGGGCAATTTCATCAAAAAGAACAATGATGTCAATGAATCTGATACACACATTTGATAAAAAGAAAGAAGTCAGGCATGGTGGCACATGCCCATAATACCAGCACTTGGGAGGCTGAGGCAGGTGGATCACTGTGAGTGGATCACTGTGAGTTTAGACCAGCCTGGGCCACATAAGCGAATTCAAGCCAGCCTGAACTGCAAAGCAAAATCCTGTCTCAAAATTTAAAAAACAGAGAGAAAGAAAAAGCAACCATAAGTCCATGATACTCAAAAAGCGGGGCAGAGCTTGGAATGTTGCTCAGTGTACAGAACTTGGCTGGTATACACAAAGCCCTGGTCAGCTTGGGAGAGGAAGGGTGGTTAGAAGGAATGGGGGCTTGTTGGCACACCTCTTTATAGATGAATGCTGACCAATGAATATGGAAGAAATAACAATTACAAGCTGGGCATAGTGACCCATGCCTGTAAGTCCTAACATTTGGGAGGCTGAGGCAGGAGGACTGCTGAGTTTGAGGAAAGCCTGGACTACCCAGTGGGTTTAAAGCCAGCCTGAACTATATAGTGAGCTTGTCTCAAAAAAAAAATAAAAAATAAAAAAAATGGGGCGGGGGGGGGGGGAGGCTGAGGATTTAGCTCAGTGGCGTAAGCACCTCCCTGGCAAGTGTGAGGTCATGAATTTGATCCCTGGTACCATAAAAAGATAGTAAATTTCCAATTGCTAATATAATATTTAGTCAGATAAAATCCACCAACAAATGCTAAAACTGCTGCACAAAATTATTAGGGAGCTGTATGTGGTAGCCCATGGCTGTAATCTCAGCACTCAGGAGGCTGAGGCAGGGGATTATGTCAAGTTTGAAATCACCCTGAGCTATGTAGGAAATTCAAAGTCAACCTGAACTATACAGCGAGACCTTGTTTTAAAAAAAAAAAATTTTTTTTAAAGGAAAAACATGTATTAGGGAAGGAGAAATCTGCACTTCATAAACTATCCTTTTGCAAATCACTTACTAAGTACAAAAAGAAAACCATAACTTTATAAACAGAAAAATTCAGCAACGTTTTTACCAAGGGATTAAACTGAATACAACCAAAAGACAGGACAAACACATTTTATGTGCCTTTCAATATAAAAAAAATGAGATGCATCCAAACTCAACAACATATTATGCTTCTCAAAAATGTTTAAAACTAAAAATGAAACAACCAGCAAATCCAGTCTGGGGACCAACTGTGAAATAAAAGCAATGGCCAAAAGCCAAAAACTAAACCCTAAGTTTAAAAAAGACCAGGAGAGGGAGCTGTTCTAGAATAAAACAAAGCAAACCATAAAAATTAAATGAACTGAATCATCCTCTTTAGCTGGCTTTCTAGGCACCTGGAAGGCTTTGGGTTGGTGGATTTGGGAGATTCCTATGCAGTCTCCCTATGCAGACCAGGCTAGCCTTGAACTCACTATGGACCCAGGGTGGCTTCCAGTCCATGTTCCTCCTGCCTCGGCCTCTCAAGTGCTGAAATTACAGGTGTGCCCCGCCACATCTGGCTGAGTTTGGATTTTAGTTCCCATAAATATGTGCAATTATTAGGTACTGATTATAAATATAAAAATGTGGAGCAAAAAGCCAGACATGGTAAAGGACACCTGTAATCCTAGCACTCAGGAGGCGGGGACAGCAGAAGTATCCCCAATTCAAGGCCACCTGAGATATACAGCAAGCTCAAGGCAGGCTGAGCTACACAGAAAAACCCCGTCTCAAAAAGACTGGAAAGGGGCTGGGGATTTAGCTCAGCGGCATAAGCACCTGCCTTGCAAGCAGGCGGTCATGAGTTCGATCCCCGGTACCAATAAAAAAGAAAAAGACAAAACAAACAAACAAAAAAGACTGGAAAAACCCACAAACTTCGGGCTGGGGATATATCTTGGTGGGAAAGCATATGCCTAGTATTTGTGAGGCCCTAGTTCAAACTAGCACCCCAAAATTAAGTAAATACAAAAAACGTAAAGATGTATCAAGAACCTATTAAAACAATGAGGGATTTTTTTTCCCATTACTGGAGATGGAACCCAAAGCCTTTGCAGTGAGCCACAGTGTCTTGCTAAGTTGCCTAGGCTGGGCTTGAACTTGTGATTCTAACTGCCTCAGCTTCCCAGGGTGCTGGGATTATAACAGGCACACACCACACTTGACTAATGAATTAAATTTTTATGTGGACTATAATACTATCCAATCAATATTTTATTTTTTTTCCAATCAATTTTAAAAATCTTTCAATCCCCAGCATCACAAAATAACAAAACAAAATCTCAAATACAATAATATATTGTATAGCTATACATATCTTTGCTCATAGGAGACACACACATAAGTATTTAGAGGTGAAAATAAATGTTATCATCTGCTGCTTCCTTTCAAACAATTTGGAAGAAAATGCAAAAAAAAAAATTTTGAGATAAGTCTCACTATGTAGTCCACACTACCCTTGAACTTGAGGTGATGCTCATGTCTCAGCTTCCTGAGAGCTGGGGTTACAGGTGTAATCCCATCACCATGCCCGGCCAAAATATATGTATTACACACATAAATGCACACTGAAAAAGGAAAAAGCAAACACGGCAAAATGTTAACAGCTGAAGGGAATATGGGTATTTACTGTATCTATTCTTCAACTTTTCTCTGAAATTACTCAAAATAAAGGTAGTAGGGGGCAAAAGGAGAAAAAAAATAATGGGAAGCTGGTTCCATGATCCTGGCTCAGCTGCTCAGCAACATCAGCCTGTTTACCAACTCCGCCTCTGCCTCAGCTTCCTCCCGAGAAATAGGGGTGCTTCCTAAGTAAAATAAGGTGTGTAGAGTGCACAAGGGCTGGGCCCAGCGTCCTCAGCAGCACCTGCCATTGTCACCTCTGATCTCTACTTACACTCTGAGCTCACACGTCACCGTGGTAGGTTAGAGGCTTCTGCTGAGAGAAGGCCGAGGACTTGAGACCGCTCCAACTCACTCCTTATAGTAAAACGGAAGTAAAAGCCAACGACAAGGACTTCTCGAAAAACTAATCTATGCCAAAAGGGACTTCCTGAGTCTGAAAGAGCTTCTACGTACATTCCCAAGAGCATGTCTTACTTACCTCTTTATTCAAAACAATAATGATTTAAAAGTTAATTTATAAAACAGTTCAGTTCTAGCTTCTAGAATAAGCTAGCAGAGGGAAAATAAGAGGAAATCAATTCCTAGAAAACCTCTCCCAACATCTGCCCAAAGAAATATATGATACACTATTCATGAAAAGTAAAAAAACCACCCGATGTACCTCACTCGACATGCATGGCCCAGTGCATGAACTGGAGCGTTCACACCATCTAACTGCTAAACGGCTATCACGATGAGCAGTCAGTCAGAGGTGTCCGTGAAAGCACAGGACTCAAAAAATGTTTTCAATTGCAAAATGTTACACACGATTACAGAACCATTTATGTGAAGTTTAAAAACACGCAGGCAAGCCAACTTTTGACTGTTCGTACAGGGTACAAACGCAGTCAAGTAAAAAAACATGTTCAGGAAGGATCCAAGCCAACCTCTGGATGGTGGTTTCCTCTGGGGAGAGAGGGAGGGAAATGGGACTGGGCAGGGGAACAAAGGGGACCACAACTTCCTCAGTCATGTTTTATTTCTTGACAAAGGAAAGTGATCTGAAGAAACCCTTACGAAGTCTTTTTCCCATGAAGCAGTCAACAGCTGGGAAAGGAAAAATGCGGGAACCGGGCTCCAGATGCGTGGAGGTCCACCCTGGATCCCTGACTCGAGCCCTGCGGTCTCTCCTGGCAGGAGGTGCTGCTGTTGCCAGCTCTGGCTCCAGGACCCCGTGGAGCCCGGCAAGCAGGCCCTGCACCCAGAGGCCCAGCCACACACTCTGTGCTCCCAAGGAGGACAGGGGGGCGGCTGAGCAAGCCTGCACCCTCCCCACCATCCCCTCCCCTCCCCTTCGCTCCAGCTTACCTAACTGAAAGGGTGAAGTCTCCAGGGTTACTTTTACTGGGCCTCGCCAAAAAACTGCCATCGACTCCTCTGGTCAACAGTAGATTTTCTGCCTCCACGCCGGTGATGTTTGGGTGAAACCATCTTCAAAAGAAAGAGCGAGAGCAATGAGAAACAGAGGAGCCTGTAACGCATCTCTCCAGGCCCCAGCAGCTGGGGGTAGGCGGGAGGGGCTGAAGAAAGACCCTCCTTATCCCACACACATCCTTTTTCAAGGCAGGGCCCTGGGCTGCGGCCGCCACAGGAGCAGGGACAGGGCCAAGGTCAGTGGGCCTGGGGCAGGGGCTATTCATACGGTGCACTGGCAGGGCAAGGCCCGAAAAGCCAGTCCATAAGGTCAGGAAACTGGGCACATGGAAGAGACTGTAAAGTAAATGAAAAATAAGCTGCTCAGTAAGTAACCCTACTGCAGCCAGCAGGGGCCTTAACCCGAAACTGAACGTATCAGTGTAAGCTGGGGGCAGGCCGTTCAGAGATGGAACAGGGTTCGGCACGTAGTTCAGCAGTGCAACATAGGCTTAGCAAGTGAGGACGCAGGTTCAATCCCCAGCACAAAAGGGAGACATAGACAGAATGCACGCCTCCACACGCATGCACGGACTTCCCAGCTCCCTTCTGCAAAGGCTTGGGAGGATCAGCACAAGGAACACCCTTACTTAGATTCTAACTACCATTCTGTAATAAAAGAAACTACACTCCTTGGAGAAATGGCTGACTCCAGGATCGGGCCAATAAAAGAAAGAAGATGAGCGCAGAACGTCTGGCTGTGCCGTGGTAGGAAGTGTTCCAATGCGGACATGTTAAAGGGGTCACGGAGCCAACCTGAAGGCCTCCCACTGGTCAAAGTAGGGACAATCTGTGGCTCATAATGAACAGTGACATTAACACCTTATAACCCATGAATACAACAGGAAATCTAGAATCTATACAGGTAATTTTTTCTATTTAAAGGGAATAAAACAGAATGATAAAACAGTGAGAACCCAATATTGGATTTCAAAAATAAGACGGAATCTACAGCTTGCACCTGTAACCCCATCACTCCAGAGGCTGATGAGGCAGGAGGATCACATTCTAGGATGGACCGGAACATTCACACATCAGTGACAATATACTCGCTTCATGTTTGTAGCAACACCAGAGACTGCAAACAGGGCCTTGCACACACTAGTAGCCGGGCAAACCCCAGCCGCCCACAACCGTTTTAGAGACAGTCTTACTAAACTGCTCAGGCTGGTCTCAAACTTGCAGTCCTCTTGCCTCGGCCTCCCTAATAGCTAATAGCTCCCTAACAGATTACAGGTGTGCACTATCACGCCTAGCTAATGTAAATGTACTTCATGCCACAGAACTATGCATTTAAAAATGGCTAAAATACACTTCTGGCCATTAAAGAAATGTGAATTAAAACAACACTGAGATTCCATTTCCATAGGGTGATCAGCAAGAACTCAAGTCAAATGCTAGTGAGGTTGTAAAGGAAAGGAATTCTTCTAATACTGCTGGTGGGAGGGTAAACTAGTCCACCACTATGGAAATCGGCAGGGAAGGTCCTCAAAAAAACCAAAATGAATAGCCAGGCCTGGTGGCACATGCTTGTAATCCCAGCACTCAAAAGGCTGAGACAGAAGGATCACCACAGCTGGGGATTTAGCTCAGTGGCTTAAGTGCCTGCCTTGTAAGTGCATGGTCGTGAGTTCAATCCCCGGTACGAAGGAAAGAAAGAATGAATGAACAAAAGAAAGAAAAGAAAGATCACCACAAGTTCAAGGACACCCTGACTTACATAGTGCAACCTTGTCTCCAAGAAAAAAAAAAATTATAACAATGAAAGAATTGGCGTGGGGGACAAAGAATTATTCAGATTAAAGACCGCAATAAATCACAAAAAGGTAATAACTGTGCAATGCTGGACAATATTACGGACCAAAACAAAGAGATGAAAAAGGAAGAGCTTTTTGCCATAAAGTACATTGCTGCACCAGTCTAAGGAATCTGAAGTCTGGCTGGGTTGGTGTTTTGCAACAGGGTCTCACTATGTAGTCCAGGCTGCCTCAAACTCAAAAGCAGCTCTGCCTCAGCCTTACTAGGGCTGGGGGTACAGGCATGTGCCACCACATCCCGCATATTTTATTTCTGACATAGCATCTCATTAAATAACCCAGGCTGGCCTTGAATTTGTGATCCTCCTGCCTCGGCCTCCTAAGTAACTGGGACTACACGCATACAGCCAACATAATACAAATTGTGAGGACATACAGCAGTGCTGTGAGCAGCACTGCTTTGTTTTAGAAAATATACAGGGAAGCATTTGAGACATAAAATGTGATGTCTACAACTTAATGTCAAATGGTTCAGGAGAAAAAAAGTCATATACAATTATATACACACAAAACTGCAATGCGGGTTTGTATGACTAGCGAAGGAAACTGATAGAGCACGATGGTATAATGTCAACGGTACACACCAGTGAAAAACAAATAGGAGTTCTTTGCAATTTCTGTGGCGATTTGAAATTATTTCAAATAAAATGCTTTTTAAAACACACAAATCAAATTGGGCATGGGACTTCTCTGGAATACCAGTATTTGAGAAACTGAGGCAGGAGGACTCAGGCCAGCCTGGGTTGTACAATGAGATTCTGTTTCCAAAAAAATCCCCACAAATGACAAAGCTCACCACAGATGGCATTTGTTTCAAAGGAATCTTGCCTACTTTCAGCAAGATCTCCTTCATGGATTTCAAAGTCACCAAATTTCACTGGGTGTGGTAGTGTATACCTATAATCCCAGGACTCAGGAGGCTAAGGCTGAGGCAGGGTTATTGCTGCAAGTTCCAGGCCAGCCTGAGCTACACAGTGAAACAAACAAAAAAAAAGTCAAAGTTTCATAGTCAGAGAGTAACTTGTAAAGTCACATTATCCAGTACCTTCATTGGCTAATTAATGCCTGTAAATACGCTCAGAAATGTAAGTCAATATTAAATGTAGAGTCTCAGTACTGACAATCAAATAGACTTTTAAGAGACTTCTCAACAAATATTTGCCCAACTACATACAGTGCTTCCCAACAGGCAGGAGCGAGGGTGAGCAACCTGTGTGTCTCCAGACAGCCAGACAGGCTCACAGCCAGCAGCCCCGTGGCTCGGAGACAGGCTCTACCCTACCAGCTCTGCACCTGCACGAGGTACTCAGCGTTTCCTCTTCACGCTCCTCATCTGGAAGATGGAAACCACACTTCTTGGGTTATTTTAAGAGTAAACAAGACAGAGGGCCAGAGGAATAGCCCAGTGACAGAGTGACAGTGATAAAATGACAGGAGGTCCTGGGCAGCAGCCCAGCCCCACAGCAGAACAAAAAAAAAGTCTTTACACCAAGCTACACAGATTAAAAAGAATCCATACAACGAATTATTAATCTGAAAAAGAAAAGCGACACCAAAATCGCTAGAGGCTGGATGCAGCTTGCAAACACAGTGCTAGGGCGCCCCGTAAAAGAAGCCAGACCCCAGAGGCCAAAGGCTGCGCTGCACTGACAGGAAAAGCTCAGAAAGGGAAAGCCAAAGGACTTGCTGGGGGACAGGCGAAAGAGGGCAAAAGGGGTGGCAGCAAGGGCAGAGCGTCTCTTCTTGAGGTGACTAAATGTCCTGAAATTAAGGTGATGATTGCAATCTGTGAGTACACTAAAACCACCAAACCGGATACTTTAAATGACTAAACTGTATGGCACATAAATTATACCTCAACAGAGCTTTTTAAGAATAAGATTTATCTAGCCAAGTAGCGCACACCTGTCATCCCAGCACTCAGGGAGACTGATGTGGGAGAATCATAAATTCAAGCCCAACCTAGACAACTTAGCAAGACCCTATCTCAAAATAAAAAATAACAAAAGGGATATAGCTCAATGCAAAACCCCAAGTTTAATCCCCAGCACCATCAACCCACGTACACACAAACACCCCCCACACACACACAAAACTGCTTGAGATCCTAAAAGAAACAGGCTTCATTCATTCAGCAAACACTGAGCACCCACGATGGGCTTCCACAACCCTAGGACAGCAGTTTAAACAAAGTCTCTACCCACTCCAAGCTATCTTTATAATGGAGGAGACAGAAAATGAAAAAACAACAGGCAAATAAATGAAATGTCAGATGGTACTCAGTGCTGCAAAGAGGAACAAGGCAGGGGGAGGAAACAGAAAGCGGGGGCCCAGCACAGCGCCGGCGGCTGGGGAGGGCCCCCTGTGCTAAGCTCACTCTGCCACCAAGCACCCCGGCCCGGGACATGACATCTGATCAGGCACCAGAAGGTGTGATACGCAGGGGTGAGGGCGAAGAGGCAGGAGGAGCACAGGGGCAACACGAGGGGCCAGATCAAGGGCACGGGGAGACCATGTGTGATGCGGTCAAGTACACAACGCTGACAAAGAGCAGGCATGAGACAGAGGAAGAGATGAAGCCGGAGAGCTACTCAAAGAACAGATCTTGCAATGCTTCAGAGCACCCTGCAGAAACCCAGGGTTCGAGTTCTAGTGAAACGGGAAAGGATGGGGGGGCAGAGCAGCACCAAGATCTGAGTAAATGATCCTTCAGATGACAGTTTGAGAGCAAGGACAGAGCCTACAGCGCAGCCAGAAAGGTTCCGTGATAACACAGGCAGGAAATGGTGCCAAGAAGCCCGGGCAGAAGCTGGAGCAGCGATAAGGAGCCCCGGCGGGGCTTTTCAGATGCGGCCACAGGGCGGCTGAGGGGCTGCATGGAAGGGTGGAAAGGAAAGAAGGGGGGCTGGGGATTTAGCTCAGCGGCATAAGCGCCTGCCTTGCAAGCAAGCAGTCGTGAGTTCGATCCCCAGTACCGATAAAAACGAAAAAGACCAAAAAAAAAAAAAAAAAAAGAAAGAAAAGAAGGGAGCACGGATAAGCAGAAGTCTGGGCCAGAGCCGCTGGGGGTGAAGGTGTCCTGTGGGGAGGTGTGGAAAGGTGGGCGGGGAGGTGGGACACTAGGGCCATGCTGCACGTGTGGCAGAGGGAGCTGCCGACCAGTAGCGCAAGCGTCTGGCAGATAGCAAGCACTGACAATCG